ATATAGTAACTCCATGTAGTTACTAACTTTAAAACTACTAATAAAGATATGAGCAAGGCCTCACCTTAATACCAAAAGAAAAAAAATAATAAGAACAGAAATTATTTTTTAACTTTTTATAATAGTATAGAATTTGTAGAACAAATTTCTTTAAAGAGACAGAATGTTATATGATAGATTTCTATTATTATATTACTATTATTATATATTATTATTTTAGTATATTATTATTTCTATTATTATATTAATTATAATTGCTTAATGCTTTAAACATTTTAATGCCTTAAGCTTATAATACCAGTTACTTATATAGTTACTTAGTTCTTCAGTTACTTATATAGTTCTTTAGTTACTTAATTCTTAGTCACTTAGTCCTTTAGTTGTTTAGTTACTTAGTTGTTTAGTCATTTAGGTATTTAACTTACAGATATATAAACTTTTAAAATTTCTTTAAATCAAAATAAGTATTTACAAATTAACAGTTTTAAAAAAACAGAATTATTTTTTCTCTTTATTTTATAAATTATATCTTGAATTCTTTAGAACAGGTGTCTAAGAATAATCTTTCTTGTTATTATTTTAATAAATAATTTTAACTATAAACTACTATATAATAATTATCAAACTGTCTTAAAGATAAGTATAGTTTTTTGACAATGTTTAACAAAAACTATACTTTCTTCTTGGACACTATATATACCTATAAGGGATTTTCTATACTATGTCATTGTTGTAGTATAAAATTAAGAAAGCTTTTACTTTATAACAGTAAGTTTAAATTGCAGATTATATGTTTGAATCTTTATTTTTTTTTATGTAATTTAAAAACAAACTTTTTTTTGTAAAAACTTTACTTGAATTTTAATAAAGTTAAAGGCATAACCTTCTGTCAATATTTAAAAAAAAATTTTTAATTTTATATTTTTTTTATTAAAATTTAAAAAAATAATAAAAAAACAAATCTAAATATATATTTTATGTTTTTTAAAAAAACAAACACTTAACAAAAAACCTTTTAATTAAAACAACACAATTAAAAAAAACTTTCAATAATCTAAATTGGTTTAATAAATACTTAGTAACTAAAAAAATAAAACAATCTACTAAATTCAATAATACTCTAGGTTAAGTAATTTGTAAATAAATTAAATAATTGATATGAGTTAAACAATTAATAAGTAGATTAAATAATTAACACATAAGATTATTTAAACCAAACTATTTATTTTAACATATATATGTATTAGTATATTCACAAATCAGATGTTTTATTAATTAAATTGTTATTATTTTGCTTAAATAACTTGCAAATTATTAATTAAATATTTTTAAAAATTGTATTAAAAGATAACGATGTTATATTTGATTTTCAAACTTTAAATAGTAATCTTAATTTAATAATATTAATATTTTATTCTAGATTATATAAATTTATGAATTATATTAGTGTTTAATATACAATATACTGTATATTAAAAAAAGTTTTTTATTAAAATATTCTAATTCTAATTAAACTAATTTTATTAGATGTTTAATAAATAAATATATTTACTGTTTTTATTAATTTTATTTGTATTATCTTCGTGTTACCCTTTCAATTAAGTTCTTTACAAGTTAAATATAAAAAATATTAATACTGTGTCATCTTCGTCATCTTTTAAAACTTGTATAGTTTTTGAATAATTGCCATTTATTTAACCAATGTAAATACACAAATATAATATAAACTCTGAATATTTAAAGGCTCAAAAGTAGCTATCTCGTCACGTCACCTTAATGTCATATAAATTTATATAGTGACGTCATTACTACATCATTTCCACATGTCTATTTGATATTTTTAATGCCTGCAACCTAATCTGAAACATATAGCCTAATTGATAGTAGTGAAACATGTAAAGAATATGTTCTGTTATATCAAGCAAAAAAACGAAAAAAATATAGATAAAGCACAAAATCTTGATTTAAAACTTTAGTAGAGTATTGACACGTGATCATACAAAAAGCATTTATATAAAAGAGATTGGAAGTGATAATACTAATGAGACTGATGTATATGGTATTGTTACATCATGATGACTGTCGTATAAAAATCCTTTTGTAATTTTAGGATTATATCCCATAAAAATATCTATATTATAGTTTTAAATTGCCAAAATAATTTGGTGTACTCCAAGTTGGTTAGTTCTATTCTGTACAAGTTTGTTTATTTAAAGATATTTTTGGATCTATTAACAAATTATAAGGAAAAAAATTATAGAAAATCGTGGATAACTATTAAAAAGTTAGAATTCAGTTACACCAAAATAGCAGATCCAAGGGGCTATGAAGATTAAAAAATCACCATACTAAATGGGGACCAAGTTAAAGAAAACCAAGTTAGACTCATTTAAATAAAGACAAAAATCGAAAAAAAAGAATAAAAATAAAATTTAGTCGATATTGATAGTCCAAACACATAAAAACCCTTTCGACAAATAAAAGATGATCTAATTGTAGTACATCCAATTACAGAGCTGCTATGACGTACATATAAAGTTGTTACGCATACATTGTTTTCATAAACAAGAATGATTCATGTATACTACGTATTTAATTGATTGTTTTGTTGATGAATTATAGCATATTTGATATTTAATATTTATATATACAGTATTAAAAAATCATCGGGGTTTTTTTTAACTGATTTGATAATGTATCTTTTAATCAATCACGCCCAGCTGTTACATCACAAATCCAAATTCATAAAGGAACTATGTGAACACAACTCAAAAAATGGGCAAAGAGAAGTGAAGACAGGATGTATTGTTATAAAAAAGTCTTCAAAGAGATATTGTACTCATCATGCAATTAGCACAATAATCAAAGGTCTCACTATAATTCCAATTATTCATTATTCTATTATTAGTAATCTGTTTAAAATGTCATTGGATGAACATTTATACAGTATTGTATATAACTATGATGCAGATTTTTAAACGTGATATTCACATTACCCAGTTTTAGTTACATGACAAAAGATATTTGCATGCGATAAAAAAAGCTATTTCCTTGATAATATTTGAAATCTAATTAATCCGATTGTGACTCAGCGAATGACAAAATGTGATAAAGAATGGTAAGGAATGGTAAGGAATGGTAAGAATAACTTAAGTCATGTGATACTGCCTATACGCTATCCAGGTTTCTGGCACTGTACCCAATTTGTTGTAAATACTTCAAAACCGGTTCAGAACCTAGTATAATTACAGAAATATCGATACAGCCTGAAAAATGTGTGAATGAAAACAATATATTATCAAAAAAGAATATGGATTGAAAGATTTTAGTGTCAAAGTATTAAATAATTTTTTTTGTTGCTTTGAAACATTGTATTTTATGCGAAATTACATGACAACTGCATGCATGACAATATAAAGTATTGTGTATGCTATAATGATCATTACCTTTTATGAATAAGATAATATAATATTGTGAAACTTTTACAGTCTTTGATAGGTTCCATATATAAAGTGTAATATTTCGATATCCTTTGTTTAATCAAATTCAACCTAGCATGTCAAGCATTATCTCCTCTCGTCTTCCTCCGGAAATACTTCAAGATATATTCAAATATAATGTTGAGATCAAAAATCGTCACGCACGTTACAAGAATCTAGCAACATCATGCCTTTTAGTAAACCGTTATTGGAGCATGAATGCTATTTCACTCATGTGGGAAGAACCTTTAAACATTTGCGCAGGAAAAGAAAAGTCATTAGAAAAGATCCTCAAAGTATACGTTTCAAATCTACCAAAAGTATCCAAATCGTTATTAAAAAATTTAGAATGTCAGTTTGAAATTACTTTAAAACAACCTACGTTCAACTATGCATCCTTTTTGCAAAAGCTCGAATTACAAAGCCTTTATGATACCATTAATCGATTTATACTTCATAAAGCGTTTTACTCTATTTGTAAATACGAAAAAACAGCCAAACAACGCATTGGTCTATTACAAGAATTAGTCAAACATTTCATTTCAGAAAGTCCAAAATTAAGTTATCAAATTAATATGAATTCAATTAAATGGGATGAATCAATTCATTTTGAAAGATTAATCGGAATTATTCCTCCTAATTCTATTCTTGACAAACTTTCTTGTTTCACGAAACATGCACCAAGCATTTACTTTATTATTTCAAAACTTTTTTCGGAAATAAATAATTTACAAATTTCTTGTGATTCAGATGATAACACAGCACTAGCATCTTTAATCGATTCGTTAACAACATCGCCCTTAAAATTAACCTTGTACAGAAATTCATTACCGATACCACAAATCATTAATTCACTTAGATTAAAATTAAATAATTTGACATCATTAATTATCTATGAATGCGGATCCATCCCTTTGGAAACATTTCAAGAGTGCACACGATTAAAATTATTTAAATTGAAATTGGATAAATTTAAATGCCGTTACGATCAAGACAAAAAAGAAGTAGATGAATTAAAAGATATTATAAAATACAAATCATTAAGTAATCTTGATGAATTTGATTTGTGCCAACCTACGGTGAATAATTTGCATATTTCAAGCATACTTCAAAACACAAATAATAATCTTAAAGTGTTAAAATTAAATTGGATGAAATCGGTTGATCCAGAAAATGAAGAATTATTATTTAAGTCGATTACGGAGAATTGTATAATGTTGAAGGAATTAGTAATTTCTTTAACTACATCTACAACAAAGTATTTTCCAACATGTATTCGTACACTTACTCATCTTCAAAGTTTGAGAGTGGAAAGATATGAAGATGATCAATCATTCGAGGAAGATATGTGTATTTGGGCGGAAGCACTTGGTAAAAACATTTCTTTATCCATAAAAATACTTTCATTGGATAAAAATTTAAATCTGAACACGGAAGCATTTGAAAAATTTCTTTGTCAATGTTATAATAGAGGTATAAAAAATTTGTGTTTGATGGTAGATATACTGAAATTTATCCGCAGGGATGAACAAATTAAAATAACATTATGGAATTATATTCAAACAGGAACATTGAGTCCAGAAACAATTTCATGTTAGTTAGTAATAATAGCATTAATTATCTATTATTTATCTATTATTTATCTATTATTTATATAATTATTTGTCTATTATTTGTCTACTTATAATTAAGGTTCCTTACCATTAAGGTTTGGGACATGAAAAAAAAGCATACTAAAAACCTTTCATCATAAATTGACTTCTAGAATAGTCACGACCTATTGAACTACGTAAATCAAAATTATATGTGGAACCATAAAGATATTTTTTTGAATTTAATTAAAGCGATAGCAGTTCATGTCTATTACTTAAGTATAGCTTACGAAGAATGATTAGAGCATTTTTAGAATCGTATACTTTCTTCAAAATTTTAACAAATTACAATTCTTGAACATGTTTATAACAGATTTACGTTAAAATATTTAATACTGTATAACTTTTGAAAAAAAAGAAAATTTTTGACAAACAAAATCTTAATTTCAAAACCGTTTTAACGTAACTTTGTTATAAAAATGTTTTTTAATATATGATTTTTTTTGAAATTTTTTGGAGTGCGTTTTTTTAGAATTATGATTTTGGTTAAAGTTTTGGATTAAAGAGTGTAGGTGGATTTTAGTACAACTTGTATTTTTAAATTAAGACCCCTCCTATTAATATAAATATATGCAAAAATACGATCATTAGAATTGTGTATGGTGAAAATCATTTCACCGACCGACTAATTGTTTAACTGACACCACTTAATGTTATCGGTAGCATATATCATTTGTAAATTGTTACATTATGTGATGCCAGTTATATAACTTGTCAGTAAAACGACTATCTGTCTATTTAACCTATATATATACTACACTCTTTATCATTTCTGTAGTCTATAAATGCGTTGTATTCACCTGGTGATAATATACCGTAAAATGTAAAAAGATAAGCACCGCACTCTACCCTACTTTTTTTCAATCTCAGATTGAATAATTTAAGATTTTATTGCTATCTGAGATTGAAAAAAATTTGAAAATCATGTGATAATTTCAATTCATCATGATAATATTTATTAAAATATCCTAATTGATTTAGTGATTTTGTTTCTTCGATTCTTCGAAATGAAAAGCGATCGTTAAATGATAAACACCAACAAATACGCTGTTCTAAATATACATTGATTGCAATAACAAAATTTCCACTATAATAAACAAAAAAAGAATGAAAATCGAAATAAAATTAAATAAAAATAAATCAAGAAAGTGCGAAAACCTTGTAGATTTTATTTTTTTTAATGCTCTTCCAGAAGATTATAACTCTGATTATTTATGTTTTTATGATTCTAGTAACAAATGATTCGATAGTATTAATAAAAACTTTGAGTCATTACATAAATTGGATTATTATTATCAATTTAAAAGGCAATATAATATTCCAAATACTTAAAAAAACTGTTATCATAATTCTTTCTGGCTGTAATAAATGTCGCGGATTATCGTGAAATCTGATCATCGTGAAATTTGGAGGTCTCAATTTGAAAATATAACTCAACCAAAACTCTTTCATTAATAACTCTAATCCTAAATCCTAACTTAATTAACTATTAAAAAAAGCTGGCAAAAAAGGCCTAAAAATTTTTAAAAATCGTATATACAATAGATCCAAATGTCATGATAATCCGATTTCACAATAATCTGTGACAATATAAATATTACGTTTATTAAAATAAATAAAATGATTAATTTATTGCTTATCTTTATTATTTTGTCAAGTTAACTCCCCCGTAACCAACAAAAAATCTCAGACACGTGATGATAGACAGTAAATTAGCCAATAGTTAATTGTTATTCGGTGTAACGTAGCATGATCAGGAAAAACGGTCGTAACTCAAAAATCTGCATAAGAAGTCACCTTTAGCACTCTAACAAATGCCTTTCTTGGGCGATTTTACTACTATACCCCGCTAACCCCTATCCCTAAAGTAACCCTAACATAAATGCATTTTCAATCATTACTTACCCGAGATTTTTTGTTGGGAAATCGTGCTCGATATATTTGTCACGTGATGTTAGCTTTTAGATGTCCCGACAAGTTGGCCCGCATTAACTGTTCTGGTCAATTTTTGCCGGGATTTCTTGTTGGCCAACAAAATAAACCATAACTCACAACTTTACCTATGAAGCCACCTTCTGCGCATTAATAAAAAGGGTTCCTTGCGAAATTTTTGTATTAGAAAAAATCTTTCATAACCTAAATAATAGCAAAACCTAACCTAATATAACAGCAAAATTTTTTAGGTTGGTACGAAGATCATTGAATTACAGTGTAAATAGCAGAATTTAAATAACAATAACTCTTGAACAAGCAAACCCACATAAATAAAATTATATTTGTCGGGTTTATTTCAGTGTTCTCTTTAAAGTATTGACGCATTTTTTTATTGTTTGAAGCACAGCGGAGAACTCAATCTCAATGCAAAATGGTCATTTTTGAGGTTTGTCGATTACCTTTCATAAACAGGAGGAACCCTTAATGTTACACCAAGTGAGGCAGGGCATAAAATACCTATTGATTTACCAGCCACTCCAAAAGTATCATTTTTGATTCACGATATACTAGGTCCGATTGGCTAAAAAAACAATTGCATATGCATATCATATAAATACTGCATTAGAATGCTATGTGTATAAAAAATGATGTAAAAATTCGTAATACGACTTCTGACTCTGGTGTATCAAAAACGATACTTTAAACAATAGGCATCGATGCAGTAAATGGCCGGTAAATCAATAGGGTATTTTATGCCCTGAGTGAGGGATTATATCCATTACACTTGAAGCTACATATAAATAATTTCGGTTTAACTGATCGCTCCGTGTGAACGACGGGGCGAGGGATTATATCCATAACATACATTTTAGAGTAAACGCAAAATAAATAATTTTATTATTAATTGACTACATCATGTGAAGGATTAATGTGTAACATTGACGGTTCCTCATATGGTGCAAATCATCTAAAAACATCTAAAATTGTAACTCCTGATGAATATTTAGAAATTCGCAAATCATAAAGCGTAATTTTATAGTTCTGGATAAGACCTACAAAGTTACACTTCAGGTTTTGAAAATTTTACTTATTTGTCGGGAAGATATATATTTTTTTTAAAAAAAACATAAAAGAAAATTCCGGAAATTGTGACCCTTAAATTGAATCAATATACTTGCAAAGTATGCATTTATTACTATTTGGACATGAGAAATTCTAAAACCTCATAACGTTGGTTACATACAAATATCAGTATCAGCATTACAACGAATAATTCCGCCATTAAGAGGAGTTAGATCCAAAATACTACCAGAACAAACATCGGTCAAATTTGGTATGATTTTCCATTTGATACAGCTTGTTCCCGTTACGAATTCCACTGAAGACACTCTGGATCATTAAAACAGAAATTACAACAATCTTGTGAGGTAGTAATATTATCAATAACGAATACGTTTGCAGATTGTGGTGTATGAAATTTGTTTTGCCACCCTGGGCCACCAGATGATTGACAACATTTCGGGGTTGGTGTTGGTGTAGAGCACAAAGTAATTGTAGGCGTAAAAGTGACAGTTATTGTTTCTTTGCAATCACTATTATCC